GCGATTGGTTGAGTTTCCGATGTGACTGCAGTTTTGGGTTCGATAGAGACGGTTGGTGTTGATGAATCTTCTGATTCAGTTGGTAATCTCACTTCTTCCAATTCTGGTACATCTTCTTGTGAATTCAATTTCGTCGATTCTGTGGGGTAATCTGATTCTGGTATCTCTGTTTCTGCATTCACCGTCGTCATATCAGTAAAACTGTCGGCACTAGCAGCTTCGTCATCTCCACGCTTGTATCGATTGACGACCTTAAATCCGCTTGATTCCTGAAAAATTAAGAATTTTCATTGGAATTAGATATCAAATGTGAAAAAAATGCTACAAACAAAAAACACAAACCAACAACCTAATTTTAGAAAAAAAGTAAAATTTTGGGCGTGAAAAGAAAAACACTCAAACTTACCGCTGCTAAATAAGCGACCAGCGAAATCACAATAACAAATAAATCGAACTTTCTCATGATGCTTCTGGAAATACAATAACGTTTGTTCCGTCGCTTCGTATGTTTATATAGTTACTTTGCAACGGTGTTCAAGCACTTGCCAACGAAGTGCATTTCGAATGAGTAACTATTGTTTATGCAAACTTATTTACAAAATAGAACGATGAGAACGTGAACAAATCATATTTCCGCGAATGTTTATATTTAGAGTAATGTCTTGATTTGTGCACGAGGCAATGTTATCTCATGTACATTTGGTTACCTCATATCGTAGAAAATATCAGATCAAATGACACCTCCAAAAATCGTGTTGATCAAGATTGATTCATTGCATTCAGTGTGCGTTCGTTTAAGTGTTCCAATAATAATATTTAATTTGTATACGTTTAAATTTCGTTTGATACCAAGTCTTAACCAAAGTTCATTGTGATTCATCTGAAGAGCATGCTTTGAAACGGGCGTCGAGTTAATACAATTGGAACGACGAAGGTGATAGTGAATAACGTGCTGATTGATGATTTCGATGCAAACAAAAAAGTGACTACTTCATCAAAAATGCAATCGATTTTTTTCACCGGGTCTCATTTAGCAGTGTCTGATATATAGTCACTTTGTTATTTCAGTCAAGATTTAAAACTGAACTTGAACCATATATGGTATTAATCGATCTAATAATGATAGACGATAAGAAAATAATTTTATTTGACCTCTATCACGAGCTTAGGAATCCATTCTTGAACCTTTCCAAAAAAGATCCAACTGATTCCGTTCAGTCACTTGTCATATTTAACCAGATGTGTATTTTTCCAAAAAATTTGCATTAATAATGGTTTCATTTTTAATGAAAGTAAAATTGAAACACCGGAGGTGTTGACAAGATGAAGGTAGTATTCATTATACGAGAAACCGTGAACAAGTAAGCATTTGCATCCACTTTTCATTTTCTCTGTCTCCATCAATTCTTAAAGATTCTTAATTGACGCTGAAGACTTTTCATGAGCCTCTGTTCGAGAACCTATTTATTATAGAATTTCAATACAAATGGTTTTCATTATAAATGACATGTTCTACTTTTTCACTTGAACTATACTAGCATGTGGATTCTTGAAATGTTGACTTACTTCAACGACTATCGAGAGATGTGCGAAAAACTATTGAAAATGATGTGGTATCAACAGAAGTGGACTGCATTTTGATCGATTTATTACCCAGTTTCAAGATTCTGTTGATGGGTTGTTGGATTTTATTGCTACGACTTTATTAATTTATTGCCTTATCGACTTTCATGATTGAGTTATTAATTTGAAAAGCACCAATTATGTAGCCCTATAGTCAAATGTAATGAAATGTGAATGGCAACAGGGATCTATCATCACCACAGTGCTGTATACTGTTTTTCAATTTGCTGGGTCGCTTTCAACCTTATATTCATTCATTGTACTGCGACTTTCTCGAAATAAACTCAAAGCCATGTTTGAGCATTTGGTAGAAATTTATGATGCATGTAAGTTTTTTTTTCAGTTATTGCATAGTGTACTCCATTTCTACAAATATTTTTTTTTCAGCAATTGAACTTCGTATTTCATTTCAAAAAAAAGACAAATCAATATCCGGACTAGATGAGCTTTAAATTTTGTCAATACTTTAAAATAAAGAAAACGAATCATTCCAACATTTGTCATAGGCAAATAACACACCGGCGAATGGTTTTGGAAGAAGTACTTAAAATTGCTATTTATTTGGTCTTCAATATTGTCACCTACTTCTGTGGTATACAGCTACATCGTTTGTAGAGATTTTGAGTCAAAATGATTGTACCACCCATTTCAAGTTAGGTAAATGAATCAGAATAGAATGAATAGCATTTTTTTCTTGAAAAATCTGCTGGTAGGTTCATGTTTTTTTTTCTCGAATTCTGTGAACTGCTTCTGTCTGCCTTGGAATCAATAACACCGTTTGGATATTTTGCACAGATATGTTTTTCTACAGTGGCTGCTAAAATGCATACCTTATATCTAACGGATGCACGCTTTTACTATTCGTCTCAATTTGTGTTCATCATCCAGCATTTTACAAAATGTTTTTGTATTTTACAGAAAGCGAACAATCCCGATGGTCGGTGTGACGAAAAAACACTGTGCAATTGACTTTCCCTAACTTTTGATTCCTTTCCTTCATTTCGACGAATGCGATCGAATAAACCTTGAATCATATCAGCCATAGGTTCAACATTGCACATAGCCGAATCCAAAATGGCAACTTTGGAGCGCACATACTCGATCAGTGCATCGCGATTCTTTGGCATTTGTGCGTCAAGTGCAGTATGGTGTGGATTTTCGGTTGATTCGAAGAAATCGTTCAGAGCATTGTGAACATCTTGTTGATTACTTGCAGTGCCATGCACAATCAATACCATCCCGAGTTGACCCCATTCCAAACGCACCGACACATTGTATTGCAGCTG